TCACTACTACAATAGCATTGTGTCTGTTTATAAGACTTTACCTCCTCTGCAGTAGAGTTGTGTTTAACATTTTTTCATGTCAGTTTCAATAGCCTTAAAATATAAAACAGACCTCAAATTCCTTTGGATTCAGTTTTCTTTTGTTGACTTTATCCGATCAGGTACATGAATAAAATCACTGATTAGACAACCAGACAACATTACACACAGAATGATGACTCTCTGAGAAACTCTGTAGAGAATAATGCATACTTAATTTCGGTGTAATGGAGAGATGCTGTCAGCCTAAGTTCGAAACATTATGGTTTTCTAATTGTTTTGGATCTAAGAGGTTATTCAAAAGGGATGCTCTGTGTGTGAGGAGGACAGATATTGTGTTTCCCTTTTTGTTATTTGACACAGTATAGCTTAAATGGATAATTCAGAAGGGCTGACACTTTTTTTTCTGTTCCCTAAATGCACAGATTGGTCGGTCTGGGGTTTGGTGTGTTGCTCAAGAGCAGAGAGGTTCTCTGTAACTTTCCATTGTATGGACGGGATGCTTAGCCACTTGAAGCTGTTTATATATTATGCGCTCACAATAATGCACATTCACATGCGTACCGGTGCACCCGAACAAGCAACTCATTTAAATGCTTACCAGATGTAAATGAACCTGGATAAACAATAGAAGTTTATCACACATATATGCATATAGTCATCGTCACAAGAATAATCTGATTGTGTTGCTTTGATAGGAACACCAGGAAAGGTCCTGAACTGTTATACAAACACTTTGAAATTATTTAAAAGGGGCATCTGGGAACCATCAGCATGTTTTTAAATACAAGTATTTATGTGGAAGTTCTCATAAGGGACCATGAGCCAGGTTTCAAGGATCAGGAGACAAATATGGTCAGGGCTCAAGAAGTACATGAAGTGGAAATTGGACAAGAATTCTGAAAGAAAATAAGAGCATGGACTGAGAAAGACTTTTTAAGGAATAAGCTATTGTCTGCTCTGGATGGCGATGAAAAACTCTTCAGAGGGAAGTGAACCAGTTTCTCAAAACTGTTTACTTGATTGTTCTTGTACTCAAGAGCGGTCTTGCAACAATATTTATTGGGGGTCTGATGTTTTTGTCTGGGTCTTGTCATGCACTCAGGTATGTCTCTGCACATGGTTTAGTTGTCTCAGATATGAATGCATGAATATGATTTACACATAGATATTCAAAACTATTTACACTGTTTCAGCTTGGCATAGCAGTAAATTTCAAATTCAGAAGGCACTAAAACAACCAAAACACTTCATACGCGTCTCAAATCAACTCATTCTTCCATAACACAAAGGTTTTCACTCAACAGACATACGTTGTCACTCAATGGCCTAAAAAACACCAACAACACACTAAAAATGCTGGGTTGTTTTAACCCAATTTTGGGTCAAATATGGACAAACTCAAACATTGGGTTAAAAACGTAATTTAAAAATGTAACCCAATGGCTGGGTTTGTCCATATTTGACCCAAAATTGGGTTAAATCAACCCAGCACTTTTTAGAGTGAACAGGCAGCATTATACATTTTCTTTTGTAAAAAAAAATCTTTACAAAACAAGAATGACTCTCTCAATTGTTTAGAATTCACTGCAGTGTATGTTATATATGTGGTCTATGTTTACATTACAGTACAAACATATATTCCCTAGTTTTCCTCTTTTGTATAGATGGTAATGCCATTGAAAACATCTGTGTATGTATTTAGCTACATCTAATCTTTTCGTAATATATTTCAGTATGGTATTACTGTAGAAACGTAGCAAATTGTTGTGTAATATGTTTTAAACTTAAGTTTTGAAAAGAGAATATAAGCATGTTCAAATTGGCTAGAATAGAAAATAAATTGTGTAATTTGAGAGCATTTTGCACCAAAGCAATGATAAATAAACCAGAAGTTAGCACACATAGACATAGACTGCTGTTGTGCTCACTGTGTGTCTAGTTTTGAAAAAGTGACCTAAGTAATAGGTCCTAGCTACAACTAAAAAACATGGAGCGACGGCACGTCACACATAGGGTTTTGTCTCATTCTCAACTCTCTATGGTCTCCTCTTCTTAGCGGTTTCAAGGTTAGGAGGGTTTGATTGTTGAGGGTTGGAATTTTTGTAGTGGATACATTTTATGACCACCATCTGCTGAACCTTTTAGAGCTCTTTAGCTATAAATTATTTTTTACATAGAATGGAAGTGATGGTACTCTCACTGTTCTCTTGTGTGGTTCAGTGTTGTTTTTAGTTGAATTTTTACACCGAGATTTAATATAGGGTACTATCCTATATTGACAGTATATCCTATAATCACTTTTATATCCAGTGAGTGTTGGGTGTAATTTACTAAGTAATTAATTGCTGCAATTTAATTACTCTTCCCTTGAACAAGTAAAGTAAGGGATCTTAATTTGTCTGTAATTCAATTACAGTTGTTTCCGATGTGTCACACCCTCCCCGACCGTCTAGGTTTAGGAATGCCGATGACAAAAAACAACAACAATTGAATTGAAATATCCCTTCTGAACCTGCTCACACACAAGCACCACAGAATGAGATAGTTAAAAAAAAAAAGCTTTTTATATTCACACAGAAATAAAAAACAGGAATTGTGAATCTTTAGGAAGGGTTTTAGGCCAAAATAACAATAGGCACAAAAGTGGTTCTAACTAAAGAGTAATTAAATGTAACTTAGAAAATGATTAATCAATCACCAATCAAGCCCCGTACAGAGAGAGAGGGAGAAAAATAGAGAGACAACGAACTGCACACAATAACAGGTCACAACATCAATAAATCAGAGAAATAACAAAGAAAAAAACACATTATGCCTGGGACGTAACAGATGCAATTGCATTAAATACTATAACCCTAACTTTTGGTCAGTTCAAGGATAATTTATGCAGCATTGTATTATTTATTTAAAATAATTAAAAGAACAGTTTCATGTCTATCCTTGTTGAAATGGTCAAGGCTGATATGGGATTTAGAATTTAATTAGTCATTTTTATTTTTATTATTAGTACATGGTGAATATGTAATTAATAGCTAGTAATTATTTACTTTTTTAGAGTAACTCACCCCACACTGTTTATATCCTATAAACACTTGATCACAACTGGAGTGGTGTGGAGTGTGTTTTGTCTTATACTCAAATTTGCCTATGTTTGAACGAACTATAATTATCTTATAAGCATGCAGTAAATTTAGCCTGAATCATAACATGACTACATAAAAAAAAAACTTTTTGACCAAGATCCCTTGTACGTCATATAGGACGTATGTTGAGTTTGTTATGGCTGCTTGGTTTCTTGAAGGCAAGTGTTTCTCACAAAAGCGTTTGTGTCCAGTAAATGAGCACAATGCTCCTGATGATTGATGGTGGTTTGGGTTTCAGTGGGCTTTGAAGAATGGTGTAATGGTACATGTGTTTGTGTTTTGCTCTTCCCTTCGTTCATGGCCTTTTCTGTTTTGTTTTAAAAGAAGGGACAGTGTATGTGAAAAAGAGAAGGGTAGAGCAGAGGAAGGGGAAAGTGTGCCTTATATTGATTTGAAGGCTCTCTCATCTTCCCACTCTGAAATGACACGACATTAATGAACATATTGCTCAGCCAATCAACACAACATTAGCTTTTCTGTTGTTTTACAAGTACAGTTTGCAACTTATATCTCACGGATCCTATAAAGGATTGTATATGTATAAGGGATGCTAACAGTTAATATAACATTAACACCTCCTTTGTTTGAATACGAATTTACAATAATAAATCAAAAAGAGATGGCCTCACAAATAACAGTTTACAGTTACTACTTGCAATCGAGATACTGGTATCAACAGGATATTTGATGGATGTCATGCTGTTTTCACTGATCTCAAACAGCACAACCTGTGTCCTTTTTCTCAACACCGGTTGGTATGTTGCGTGACCTCCTTGAGTGGAAAGTGACCTCCCACGTGGACACAAGAAAACAGATTACAGACACTCCTGCTTTCAATTAAACATTAGTGAGATGACAATTTGCACGTTCATTTAATCAGTCAATGATTGAGGCTTTAGAACCAGAGAATCAAGCTAAATTGCCTCATGTGGAGGTTCAGTCAATTCGTAATTGGTTTTGGAGGCACAGATTTGATTCTAACAATTTAAGGCTACTTAACACATTTGGTACTCTAAAATTGGATATGTTGATCTCTCAGTTATAGAGCAGGACAAGACTTTGTGTTTCATAGCATTATTTATTCTTACATTATTCTGGTAGCATCAAGGTTGATCAGCTGCACATTTTCTTTCAGTAATTGTTTTAGCTTTCAGTTCTTCTCATTGTTGTCATCACATCAGATGTGCCAACTCACAGGATGCGAGCTGTCAGAGGAATTACATTAGGTCAAAAAATGTCCTCTAGCTATTGTATGTTTACCCAATACAGTCCTGCTGCCAAGTCTAAAAGTAGCCATCCTTGAACCCAAATTAAACAAAGAAGCTCAAATAGCGTGTTTTGCATATAGCATGTTTTAAGTGCTTAGACCTTTAGGCTTTTTGTGTTTTAAGTATCCCATGCAGGACCTTTTAGGGCAGACTGTTTTTATCTAGACATGTTCCTATTAGGGAGAAATATCTAAAAGTGTTAATATCTAAAAATGTCTCTTGAAGACTGTAGGGAGTGATTTTACACCCTCTAACCCCAACTTTTGCTGTACAATATTTAATGGATGGTTTGTAAGAAGTGTGCAAAGCACTTTAACTGCACTATATCACTTTCGGCAGGGTAAATCCTGGAGATATGCCTTGTTGCAGAATTCCAGCTCTGATCAAAAACACATGAATCAGCTTCCCTTTAAAATGACAATCAGGTGTGTTTGAGCTGGGTCACAACCAAACTCCGACAAAAAAAAAAAGGGAGGCTGAGACTGAAAACAATGCTTTCAATGTTTCATTTCTGCTTTCTTTCTTTCCCTGCCTGTCTCTTTCTCAGGGCGACCATACGTGGGCCACCATGCTGGGGCAGAGCGTGAGGCTGCTGCCGGTTGCCATCCAAAGCCTCTCAGAGCTCGAAAGAGCACGTCTGCAGGAGGTGGCCCTTTACCACTTGGAAAGAAGAGACTTGGACTTTAAGATCAGCATTCCAAGAGGTACATTTCCTTTACAGTGAGATGCTCGTTGAAACACCTTTTGTGACGATTCGTAATAAGTAGTGCATAGATTTAAATGCACGATAAATTGCAGAGTCACTCAGTCAAGAAATGATTGTTTCAGACAGATGATTATCAAATACGTCAAAGTCAATTCATAGGTATTTTGGGGGGGATTTCCAAAAATAAATTCTTCAGATATGATTCTACTATGAGGAAAAGGCGAATGTAAGATAGAGTACAGCAGTGCCGCACCAACACAATACCTAGCTTGTTAAACACCAGTGTTGGCTCACCACGACCTAAAACTAGGTTCCAGGCCGCTTCGTCATGGACAGCAAGGAAACAATAGTTCTAAATCCAATTTATAAAATGAAATTAACCGTATTATTGTGCATAGCTGTAAATAGACTAATATATTTTGTTGGCTGTGTCTTCAATCTGTCACTTGGCAGAAGCAGTCAAATTAGGCAGATGTCAACATAGATTGGGTGACATGACAGATCATCTCTGAAATCCATAAGAATGTTATGTATTGTTATGTTAATAATTTTGTACATTGTTGAGCCTTTGCTTTGGTTTTAAAGATAATTTAGTGTACGTACTATGAACATTTTTGGTTCTGTTGAGTTTTGAGTCATGAACCAGTTTGTTGTAGACAGTTAAACATTAAAGGGTTATTTCACCCAAAAATAAAAATTATCCCATAATTTACTCACCCTCATCAAGCCATCCTAACCAGTCTTATGTGTTTGTGTTTTGACTTGAGGTATCATGTGAGAGTCCCCCTTTTTGTCCTACCATGGAAAACCACATTGTTTTGTAGGAAGTGGTATTCCCAGCACGTACAAGCAACTTCACATGGTCAGATCAGGAAAGGTCATCCTCTATTCGCAATAGAAGTTTTCAACTGGTCATCTGTGAGAAGAGCTCATGCGGCACTCTAGCTGACCCATGGGGAAGCAGCCACCACAATTTATGGGAAAATTTATGTAAGGTTTTCCTCCCAAAAGAGAAATCCGTCAGATTGAGCCTGGTGGTTTACTCAGGCGCTCCTCTTGGAATTGTCATCAACGTGTTTGGCAGCTATTTTTGGGAAAGATGAATGTCCTTTGGAGAGTTAAATTAAACTTTGTGAAAGATACTTAAGAGAATTCAGAAAGCATGTCACGAGGGATTGACCTCTGCGTTTGGCTTTTTTTTTTTTTTCTGGTTAGCTGGTGGCTATTTGAAAGTTACATTCTTCAAACTTGCTGCACTCTGTTTGAAATATTGTGATTCTTAATCTTTGTAAACTCTAGCTGTATGCAGGCTGAAGCTGTTGACTTGTTGTCATTTGTTTTGTTTCATTCTCTTGCTCCTTTACTTTGTTTTCAATCTCTGCTTTGGCCTGAAGAGATTATTTATCCTAAATCAGGCAAATATCTCTGCGTGCTCTCTGTTCATTCCCCTAATCATCCCTCTGATGGGGGCTTTAGCCCATGATGACTTGGCGTGTGGGGAAGGTTGGGGGCAGTTGCCATAGAAATAAACTCTCATTTCCTGCAGTCATGGGAATATGACCCCACCTAAAGCCCCTCTGCTTGTGCTGCAATCCCTTTTTGTTTTCTCTATCTCTCTGGACATCTCAACAGCATCTTTTACATTTTTCTCCTCAGTTCCACAACTCAGACCTATTTACGAATTCATCTGATTCAAACCAGTCAAAGTATATCTTTTTAGCTTCAGGGCATACCAAAATGCCACCAACATAACCTAACTTCAGGAGGAAAAGGTTTGATGGTGTAAATACAACTATTGGTTTGAGTTTAAAATGTTGTGGAGGAAGTTTTAAACCCACTACAGGGAATCGCAATTCACTTCCCACTTTTACTGTTCTCCTGAGGGCTGTATAGACAGAGTACATCAGGGCTATGAAAACACACAGACAAATGTATTTTAGTTTAGCTACTTATTTTCAGCTCTAAATTTGGAAAGAATACTCTTTCTCTAGCAAAAATGAAGGATAATTGTGGCTGTTTATCAATTCAGGAAATGTTTTTGCTTCCAATTTTGTGGTTCTCACAGCCTTCACTGAATGTGAAGGTATTATTTTGTGCTTGCCTTGTCAGATCTGTCCCTATTCTTGGTGCTAAATGGGTTTTGCTTCACTATCAGCCATCTAAATGGAACACATTTTAATTTTGGGAATGGAAGACTTGCTGTTACATGCATCCGTTAGGATGTTTGTTACTGAATGTGCCGCTAGCTATTTTATGTGTTTAAATGCGTGATAAACATATTACATTTGGTATGCATATCAGAAGCTTTAAGCATTAGAATTTAATTTAATTTAATGGCATTTATAAGTTTGGGGTCAGATTTTTATTTTTATTTTGGTAAGAAATGAATACTAATTCAACAAGAATGGATTGTTCCAGACTGACACCGTTCTTCTGAATTTTTTATTCATCAATAAATTATGAAAAAAAAAAAATATAATAATATATAATATATTTTTACTGTGGTGAGCATAAGAGACTTCTTTCAAAAACATTACAAAAATCTTACCAACCCCAAACTTTTGAAAAGTATTGTCAACATTTCATTTAGTAACATAATATATTTTGTGTTATGATGTATGTATTATATGATATATGTGATATAAAAGATTGCTGTGATTATTTATCACAACTTAGTTCACCCCATAATGAAAATTCTGTCAGTTTTCACTCATATTCTTCCAACCCCGTAAGACTTTCGTTCATCTTCGGTACACAAATTAAGATATTTTTGATGAAATCTGAGAGCTGGATCCTCCATATAGGCTTCTAAGGGATTGAAACTTGCCGGCCCAGAAAAGTTATTAAAGACATTCTTAAAATAGTCCAAGCATCTACAGTGGCTTAATCTTAATTTTATCAAGCGACGAGAATACTTTTTGTGAGCAAAAAAACAACAAAAATAACGACTTTATTAAACTATCAATTTCCTTTTCGGTGGGCCTCGAGATAGTTCACGTAGTGTACTATTAGAATAAGAAATACTATGTTGTTTCAACTTAACAAAGTAGGTGTTCATGCTTGACTTATTAAGTTTAGTTAACGTTATTTTAGTTAAGTTGGATATTTAAGTTATCTCAACAAATTTTAAATAGTTTAAACTAATTGCAACAACATTTTACAGATCTATACACAACACCAACCATAATCTTGTTTTGTTTTTTGTTTTCTTTCCAGAGATTCGTAAGAGAAGGAAATCACTACGGAGAAAGTTTGACTCCTTCTCAAAAGAAAAGAAAGAGCGAGGTAAGAGATGATCCTTTAACATTTTTCACAAATCTTTCCTGTGCACAGATGGTCTTGTATCTCTGATAAACAACCAATATATACTTAGTCATGTCTTCAAGTGATCTCTTTAATTTTAAACCACGATAAAATGATAATGAAACTTATATTTGTCCACTTATACAACTCTAACTTCATCATTACAACTCTAATCATTACAACTTTAATAATAGTAATAAAAACACTACAAAGTATTTTTTGTGAACATGGCAGAATATAGACTTATAGCAATTACTTAAAAATGGTGGCTCGCGCTGTGAATCCTCAGAGTCTGGTTGCCAAGACTGTTTGGTGGGTCACAGTTCTTGCAAATCTCCCATAGGCCTTTAAGACACACAGCTTTAAGACTTTAAGACACAGGATACTTTACATTAATGTAGCTTTACTCTCAATAATCTCAACAACCCTGCAATACCATGTTCATTGCTTTCTATTTAGGAGTTCATCTTAGTTTTTGTCTAGGGATAATTGGCACAAATACTGGATACTGACTCACATGCTGAAAGCATCTAAACGATTATGAAACTGATAACAGTAAAATCAGTTTACGTGAGGATTCTCAAAGACTCGAGAGCTGCTTTTTGCAGAATTTTTACAGAATTTAATAACTACATTATCAATTGAATGTTTAGGGTTGGTAAGATTTATTGTGTTTTTTGAAAGAAATGTATGTGGTTTTATTCAATCTAAAATACAGTAAAAACAGTAATTTAACAAAACAATTTAAAAATAAATGCTTTTTTTTTGCTGTCAAACAATTAATCGCGATTAATCGCATCCAAAATAAAAGTTTGTGTTTACATAATATAAGTGGGTGCACTGTGTATAATTATTTTATATAATTTTTTTTCTTAAATTTACATGCATGTGTGTGTATTTATATACAAAATAATTATACACAGTGCACCCACATATTATGTAAACACAAACTTTTATTTTGGATGCGATTAATCGCGATTAATTGTTTGACAGCCCTAGTTTTAATATATTTTAAAGTCTAATTTATTCTTGTGATGGCAAAGCTGAATTTTCAGCATCATTACTCCAGTCGTCAGTGTCACATGATCCTTCAGAAATTATTCAGATCCTTATGCAAATTTGCTGCTCAATACATATTTCCTATTATTCTCAATTTTAAAAACAGTTGTGCTGCTTAATATTTTTGTTTCGAATTATGACACATTTTTGTCAGGATTCTTTGATTTTGAATAGAAAGTTCAAAACAACCAAATTTATTATAACTGTCTTTAAATGGACTGCATTTATGTGGCGCTTTCACAGACCCAATGGCCACCAAAGCGCTTTACATATTGCCTCACATTCACCCATTCACTCACTCATTCATACACCTTTGATCAATTTAATGCATCCTTGCTGATTAAAAGTATGAATTTCTTTAAAAAATCTTACTAAACCCAGTGTATGTTTGAAACACTATGCCGTGTTTTAGCCTAAATAATAATGTTGTTAATAATAATAATAATTGTAATGCTTTATTTCAATGGTCCACTTCCGACAGTCTACTAACTAAAAGTAACCTTGCGACTATGACAACTTATTCCACTAACCGTAACACTTAACCCTATGGGCCCTATTTTAACGATCTGAATCGCAAGTGTCAAAACGCAAAGCGCAAGTAACTTTGTAGGCGGATCCCGGCGCTGTTGCTTTTTTCCCGGCGAGATAAATGCCTCTTGCGCCTGACGCAAATCTAAAAGGGGTTGATTTGAAATAGCTTCATTATTTATAGGTGTGGTTTGGGCGTAACGTGAAATAAACCAATAATAGCGTCATATCACATTCCCTTTAAGAGCGTGATGAACGAGGTGCGCTTGTTCCATGGTGCAATTATATTTTAACGGCGCATTTACCAGACGCGCGTCAACGTCGGTTCACAGCCGAGGAGATCGATGTTCTCGTCAGGGCCGTGAAAGAAAGAGAACTGAAATAGGGGATGGGACCAACCCACCCAAATTAGCTTCGGTAAAACATGCATATAATAATTTGGGTAGGCTATGTGTAAGCTTTATGCCTATTTTCCCATTGTCATGAACACAACAATGATTTCCCTCATGTTTATAGATTTTCCTTATAATAATGTATCATTTGCAAAAATTAAAATGCATGTGTAGATGAGAGAATCATCTACAGGGTATGCGCGTTGTTCACACTCTGTAGCCTATTATGGCCAAGCATGCGCGCTTAAAATAGCATCTGAATGTAGCCTACTCGCAACGCCCCACTGACTTTAGACCAGGTTTTTTCTGGTCATTGGCGCAATTGTTTTCTGGAACTACAAAATAGCAGCACTAGGGATTGCGCCGACACACGCCTCCTTTTTGCGCCAACCCGCCAGGGAGCGCAAGTTCATTTCCTAGTTTACCGGCGTGCGTCTGTGGAGGAAAAAAGCCCGCTTTGCGCGTGTGCAAAATAGGAACGATAAATGCGTCAGTGAATCTCGCCGGGTGCAAAATAGAGCCCATTAACTTAATAGTCTACTAATACTGTAATGAGAGTTAGTTGACATGTACTGTAGTTGCAAAGTCACTTATAGTTAATGGGCTCTAACTTGCAAATGACTTTATTCACTGACGCATATCATTTCTATTATACTCGCGCAAAGCGGGCTTTTTTCCTCCACAGACGCACGCCGGTAAACTAGGAAATGAACTTGCGGTCCCTGGGCGGGTTGGCGCAAAAAGGAGGCGTGTGTCGGCGCAAACAATCCCTAGTGCTGCTATTTTGCAGTTCCAGAAAACAATTGCGCCAATGACCAGAAAAAAACCTGGTCTAAAGTCAGTGGGGCGTTGCGAGTACATTCAGATGCTATTTTAAGCGCGCATGCTTGGCCATAATACAGAGTGTGAACAACGCGCATAGCCTACCCTGTAGATGATTCTCTCATCTACACAGATGCATTTTACTTTTTGCAAATGATACATTATTATAAGGAAAATATATAAACATGAGGGAAATCATTGTTGTGTCCATGACAATGGGAAAAATAGGCATAAAGCTTACACATTTACCCAAATTATTATATGCATGTTTAACCGAAGCTAATTTGGGTGGGTTGGTCCCATCCCCTATTTCAGTTCTCTTTCTTTCACGGCCCTGACGAGAACATCGATCTCCTCGGCTGTGAACCGACGTTGACGCGCGTCTGGTAAATGCGCCGTTATAATAGAATTGCGCCATGGAACAAGCGCACCTCGTTCATCACGCTCTTAAAGGGAATGTGATATGACGCTCTTATTGGTTTATTTCCGTTATGCCCAAACCACACCTATGAATAATGAACCTATTTCAAATCAACCCCTTTTAGATTTGCGTCAGGCGCAAGAGGCATTTGCATTTATCCCACCGGGAAAATAGCAACAGCGCCGGGATCCGCCCACAAAGTTACTTTGCGCTTTGCGTTTTGACACTTGCGTTTCAGATCGTTAAAATAGGGCCCATAGTATTTAACTTTGCTTGAAGAGCTCAAACTGATCTCAGAGCTGCTCGGAGCGCTGCTAATGTAGCACTGATTCCTCAGTCAGTTGGATTTGTTTGACCGTGTTCCTGGCATTCTGCCAAACGCCTGCCACCTGCAACCACAGTCTGGCACTTGTTTTCAGCATGTGCGTCAGCTCCACGTTCAGGAACAATGAGACTGAAAGGGAGGGCTCAATGAAGGACTATACTGATAGGGTGGAGGGAGGAACATCTTTAAAGAAGACTCAATCCCCATATCCATCCAGCTTATCAGAGGACTAGCGGCCAGTGGACCAGACCAACCTGACCCGCCACCAGGTCTTTAAGCCTTGGGGCAGCAATAGAAGAAAAGGGATTGTGAAGAGGGGAGGGAGGAGAGGACATGAGAAGAGAAGACAAGACAAGACAAGGCTGCTTTGCGTTTTGTGTTACTTTGCCAGCCAAAACAGATCAGCTGTGAGCTCAGTGTAGTCCTTTTAGTGTGTTAAATTTGCTATTTAAAAGTGCTTTACGTAAACTCGTCTTTGTACCTCCCCATCGATATAAATAGCTTGGATGGGTTAAGTTAAATCACAGTTAAGCTGCTTTAAAATAACATGTTAAATAAAGCTTTTTTTAATTAAAATAATGCATGTGAGATCCTCCTGCAAAACTCAAGTGGATTTGATTTTTGAAGTGCTAATACGTCTCATGTTTTAATTAGTTCAGCAATCAGTCGATCAAGTAAAATGTTAACAGTCTTAAAGGCTTAGACCTAATAATGGACAAACTAGTAACAGTTGTTTTTATCATTGCAATTTCTGGCTAAAAGACAAGCTAATTTTGCACATTTCTTTCTTCATATGGATCATACTGAAGCTAAAGATATCTGAAACATTATAGTATTTATAAATACTTTCAAGTCATGAAGTAAAAATCTAAATGTGATTTGTAGCAGATGGATCTTAAATGCAACTTTATTAAACATATGCAAATTTATTTAGCATATTAAACGTGCAGTTTTTTTTAATAAAAAACACATGGACAATCAAATATTAACATATTTTTGTATTATTAAGGCAAGATACTGTATGTGAATGTAAAACTTTGAACTGATTGATATTGATATACTTTCTCCTGCTGATTAATCACAGTAGCCTACATTAACACAACTGTTGATGAAAGGTTGTTTAAATATGCAAATAATGCATTTTCTCATTAAATATGCACTAACTAACGTACTTTTCCAGAACAGAAATCTGAACATTGGATAATGCCAAGCAATAAAATTAACAGAAAAAAACTGGAATGTTTGGTGTAAGTGCTTCTAGAGTGGTGATTTCTGACTGTGTTCAGAAGAAGAAAAAAAAACTCATTTAGAGAAAACTGTGTTTATAGATATGTTTTGTAATTGAAATCTACAGACACAAATAGATACATTTTAATAATCAAACACTTAATTGTTTAATTTGGATGTTTTGTTTCTATTGGTCTAAAAATAAAAAAAATAAAAGATTAAAGCAAAGTTATGAAGTTAAAGTTAGGAAGTTATGGAAGCAAAATTGACCAGAGCATGAAAAGCAATAGTTCTGCCTGTAGTGTCTAGTGTCAAATTGCAACACACTTCCTATTGGTGAATGATAAAAGTATACCTTCTTTCTTAAAATTTGACGTTGATCATATATAGAATGTAAGCAAGTACAAAAATAGTGCTGTTTGTAAATGAACAAGAAGAATAGACTGCTAATTGCACATATCAAATGTCATTGAGTCATTATTTACCAAGATAAAGACAGATGTTATTTTTCACACACTCCCTTCATGAAATGTAGTGTAAAAACTAGAAGTGTCCTTTAAAAAAAATGGACATGTTTCTTATTAATTGATTTGGAAACTATGGAAACTTTAAAATGTGCACTTAAATAAGGATGAATTAAAAGGGGCAAAAGGCCTACTGTTAAAATCATTTGTTTGTTGTCTCTCCCACAGAGTCTGCAGCCAAAGCATTCGGTATCCCTCTCGCCCAGGTAATCGCAAACGATCGGGCACACAAGCAGCGTCAGGACGCTCTGAAAGAGAGCCGACGGGACTGTCTAGACCTGGAGGCCAGTGTTCTTCACTTCCGGGCCGAGAAATCGCAGCAAAATGGTAACCGGCCACTGGGCAATTCAGCCTTTTCACCTGGTGCTGCCTCAACAACAGCATTGGAAGTCCACAGCAAACCTCCCACATCAGCGTTCATGGACAACACCTCACGCTCACACAGACGGGTAAGGGAGAAACAATGTGTCCATATTTCTTTAGAACTACTGTATACCAAACTTCCTCACGAGAAAGCTTACCAAAAGTCATATTTTCTTAAAGCTGTGGTACATTAAAGCTACGCTACTGTACAGTATGTACGTTTGACCCTTTAGCAGCTGAAGCTTAAAACGAATCGGTTACCTAACATAACCTCGCTTCTCTCTAGATGAGGGAACGAGTAATACGAGAGAACCTCTCGTAAGAGAACTACAAGTTACTTGCAGAGGTACATTGTTTCGGTCATTTTGTGAGTTATGCTTCAGGTCTGCTATTCAAAGATGAATCTGATGGCTTGATTACAGATGAACGCTTTAGCAGTGTGAATGTCACCAACAAAACTCTCCCAATAATGAAAGACGGATATAGGCTATTTGTCTTATGAGCAAGTAGTTTATATTTCATTGTTTTTTGAGTTTGGCAACACTTGAAATTATACATAACGATTGCTATTCATATCGGACAAGGGTGGAAAGTAACTTGGCAAAGCAAATATGGGAAAATAGTAACTGGTATTATTACCAAAAGACATTGTTTTGTGAAACTAGTCAATGCACAGCAAATGTGAGGCTATGCAATGTTGATTCATGTTTTATTACATGTACTGGTCTTTCTCCTTTTTTTTTACAAACTCTTTTCGATTCAAAGTTCACTTGTGGCTTTCAACTGCATAGTAGTTGCCTTGCTTTGTTGCTGTGAGAGATTGTTGCTGATCTCATACGTGAGCAAATAAGAGGAAAAGACACTATATACACAAATATAAATCAGGGCCAACAGGAACTGCTTGATATCACTAACCTGCCATTCAAAGAATGTGGTCGATATGGTACATCTCACAGATAACATTCTGGCTGAGGCTTATAACCCAATATAAGCAACTTGTTTATAAAAAAAAGCAAAAAAAAAAACAAAAAAAATACACAAGTATAAATCAGGGCCAATAGGAACTGCTTGATATCACTAACCTGCCATTCAAAGAATATGGTCGATATGGTACATCTCACAGATAACATTCTGGCTGAGGCTTATAACCCAATATAAGCAACTTGTTTATAAAAAAAAAAAAAAGAGAGAGATACAGATTCACTGTTCTCATTTACTCTGTCAAGAATAAAATTTATTAAAAGAGGAATATAAATACAAAAAAGAGAAATACTTTTTGAGGAATCACATTGTCCTTGGTCTTTTGAAATACTGTAAAACAGACTGGTATGTTCTATATCTAAAAAGTTATATAAAGTTAATTGTCAGGAAGTGTCATCAATTTATAATGAAAAAAAGAATAATAACAAATTAAAATATAAAATTCAAATGAATTTTCATAGAATTTAAAATAAAATAAAACAAAATGAATTTATATTTTATTTGATAATTTCAGTCTGATCTTGAGTTTATTCTGCACATTTCTCTGAGTGATCATTTAGGCTTTTAAAAAAGACAGTTCTAACAATATTTGATTAAAAAAACTAAAAACTTTTTTAAAATAATTGATGAGCTTTAAAACACTGCCACCGTCATTGAACCGAATTCAATCAACAATGAACTAAAGTAAAGAAAAGACACTGTTGTCTTCTGTAGAGCTGAAATTGAAGTCCTTTCACTGTTAATTATTGAACTTTTAGACTGTTATTTTCCTGTTTATTACTGTGAAGCTGCTTTTCAACAATCTGTATTGTACAAAGCACTATATAAATAAATGTGACAGACTTGACAGAAAAATATTATGACCAATTCAATAAATAAAACAGTGTTAATTAGTTCAAGCTACACAAACACAGACATCAAGTAAAGTGTAGATTATGAATATTAATATGAGGAATATCATAAACATTATGGTATTCCTCATATTAATAATGGCTAAAATGTTTGTTCAGCATGATTCAGGTTATTGTTTGATGCCGTATGTGAGATTTCCATATACCTCTCTCTATGACTGGAGACAACATCTCTATGGGTGGCTACATATCAGCAGGAGGGAATGAGATCTATGTCTGTGTCTTTGCCAAATCAAACTATCCATTCTGTCCACCCAAACATGGAGAGAGAACTGACATTCAATCATCATAGTGTTGACATTTGAAAAGCTTTTCTAAAATCTGTGTACATTTCTTTTGTATATATAGCATAAATAGATTTATTGTCTTCATTTTTTCTGTCTAACTGTCTTTGAGCTCCACTGATCAGTGTGAAAGTGTTTCAGGTGTTTATCAGTTTTAATAATCCATAAATGGAGCTGCAGGCTTTCGCTCAAATTTATGTTGTCATTCTGACATCGTCTATGCCTGATGTACGCCATTTGCCTGAACCGTCATTCCTGTGACTATTGACAACTGACCTTAATAACTAACTATCTTTTATTTGTCTCTACATCAGGGAGGAATGTCTGTAGACTGCATCTCTGATCTGGTTGAGAGTCAGTCCAGACTACTGGAAGCTCTGCAGCTTTCTCACCCTAATGAGCTGGAGATGAAAAAGGCTGCTGGTCGAACACAGGCCAAACTCAGTCTCAACCCCATCTACAGACAAGTTCCTCGAGTGGTTGAGCGCTGCTGTAACCACATCCAGACCTACGGTGAGCTGCAAAACCCCATTACAGCCCAGCATGTCCAGTCGTTAAGTTTAAATTGGCACAGGAAGTTGAATTGAAAATTGAGTTAGATTGGCAGGCAAAGAAATTGACTGAACTGCAGTTTGAAAGAGTAGGGAAATTTCAATAGGCTTTTTCATTTGATTATGTCTAGTACTTTTTCTCAATCTTTAACCGATTAAACATTTCTCTATATGAAGTTAAATTAACAAATGAATGTTAAAATTAACCCATCCATCAAAACAATTTCATACAGCACTACAAATTATAGACCACATTGTAATAAGATAACTTTATATTATAATTTTAGCTCCATCCCAACAGGGAACAACTTTCAAGACTTTTGCGTTCCCCAGAGAAACTTTGCGTTCGCTCGCAAAACATTTGCATTCCCCTAAGAAACTTTTTTTGTGAGTAAATGCAAAGTTTCTCAGGAGAACGAAAACATATTGCGAGCGAGCGCAAAGTTTCTCAAGGTAAGGAAAACAGAAGATTTACGAGAGAACGCTAAAGCATTGACAATTTTTTCCACCGTTTTATATATTTTTTGCATCCTCATGTTCCTTTAGGGGCTGCATAAAGTTATGGCAAGGTTCTTTTTAAGTTATGTACAAATGTTCTTCCAGTAACATTAATAGAATGTTCGTTCAATGTTATTTGGTCGTTAATGATGTTCTTAAAATAGGATTTATGTATTAAATCCTTCATGGAACATTTTTTTTCTGAAGCATTTTAGTTGGACTTTTGTATAAGTTTTTTTTTTTTTTTTTACTTGTTTGTTCCAAGAAAATTCAAAAGGAACATTTTCATAATTTCTGCAAAATTACAAAATGGAATGTTCTCATAACGTTCGGTAACAAAGATAAAATGCTTTAAATACATTTAAAAAAACTGGCGTTTTGAAAAACACGCCACCTTGAAAACATTCAGAATCAGATCACATTAGCAAAAAGTTTTTAGAATATTTTTTTAAAATTTTGAAAAAGTAAATTAATTTGTTGTGGAAAATAAAGTGATATTCCATCAATAAAGTTCATTAATTAAAAATAATACAATACACAAATTAAATACAAAGTTCAAACATTGTATTTTTAACATGTTCCTGGAAATAACCTGTATGTTTTGTGCATGCTCATAAAAGCATGTCTGTTTGTCTACTTTAATTTTTTTGAATTTCATTCCATTTTAATTCTACTTAATTAAAATTAGGATTTTGCCTTAATTTAAAATCAAGAATGATTGAATCTGATTTGAAGACCACTTTAAGTGGAATATTTGGGAGTAGAAACGCCATGTTAGAAATACTGAATGTAAACCTATTTTTTTTTTTACAGTCTATGATGTAAACCCAAGTACTTTTAGAGATTTTTGTTCTTTCCCTGAAACATAAGTGAACTAATTTGAGTACATCCGCAGGCTCATAACACACCCTTGGTTTAGGTTACAAATAGAAGGTCACCCAGATGAGACACCACTCAAAAACAGTTAAATAGATATCAAATCAGGAAGATGAAATATGAGCCCAGCACTTATTTACACACTCTCTTTCTCTCTCTCTCTCTCCCTCTCTCTCCCCAGGATTACAAACTTTAGGGATTTTCCGTGTAGGCAGCTCCAAAAAGAGAGTCCGTCAAGTAAGTTTGTTAGTTCCATCTGCTCTCTAGAGTCAGTTTACATCACTGCACCTTACACAACATTTATCTCTCGCATGTGGCATGCGCCCCCTGTCTTTCATATCTAGAAACACACTGCTGTCAATATGATACTGACACTGTTTTATCTGTTTATGCAATGACAGTCTCCTTAACAGTGAATGTTTAAAATACTGATCATAGCATGTACAGTGTCTTGTTTTCATAGCTGACCTCAGACTGATTGTGATTTGTGTGTGTGTGTGTGTGTGTGTATATTATGCTGTGTTTATACAGGAACAGGATACATGGGATACTTGAGTCTTGTGTGTGGTGGCAGTTTGCTTGCTGATGTTTTATCCTTGTGTGTTTTCAGCTGCGCGAGGACTTTGACATTGGGATAGATGTCGTGTTAGACGAGGAACACAGCGTCCATGACGTGGCGGCATTACTGAAGGAGTTTCTGAGGGACATGCCTGACCCCCTGTTACCACGAGAACTCTACCAGGCCTTTCTGCACGCTAACCGTATGAGCATACTGTCAGAAAAACAGGCATTCACAAATTATTCAACATCTATTTGTATACGGGAATCAGCATACACAGTTTAATGGTGTAATTCCATAAATATCCATCACACTTCTCATTATTGTATTAGCTGTCATGACATACTGTACGCTCACCTTACGGGATGTTTTGTGCCTGTCCCACAGAGCTGAGAGGGGCAGATCAGTTGACATACCTGCAGCAGTTGTTGTACTTGTTGCCACCCTGTAATTGTGACACTCTGCTGAGGCTCCTGACCCTCCTTCATTTAGTACAGGAGAACGCAAAAAGCTCAACTGGACCCAACCAGCAGGAGGTATGGTATAGTTGTCATTTATGGTACAGATGAAGAAAATGTATTGTGTAATTGTTTTATTATGTAAAAACAAGGGATGTATGAACAAGTGTGGTATGAGTGGCAATGTCATAGCTGGACATGGTTTATAAATATTTAAACTAAATTTAGTTTTTCTGATAGCTATGTGCCTAAAGAGACCATTCCAATTCAAGGATTACATATATTATATGCATACTGTCTAATACATAGACACACACACAAACACATTGGGTTTCCATGTTTTAAAGGGACTTTCCATAAACATAGTTTTTTTTGACTGTATTCTATCCCCTACCCCTAAACCTACTCATCACAAAAAACTTTCAGCACTTTTACATTTTCAAATAAACATCACTTAGTATGATTTATAAGTTGGAAACCAAAAAATGTCCCCATGAGGATTTTGGATCCTGCCATCTGATTTTGCCATCTTTGTGGGGGGTTATTATTTTTCTGCCATTCTTTTTGTTGTTATTATTATAGTTATTATTTTTATTATTAAAATAATTCCTTAATTTCCATTACATACTCAATGCATGTTGGTTCTAATTGTGGTTCGCTTTTCGCCGCATTAGTTTATAGTATTAGGGCTAGGGTTTGCATATTTGTGACATTAAAACAA